TGCAGATTGGCATGGGAACACAGGGGCTAAGCTCTGTGGCATGCACCGAGCCTCTGACCAGGCCCCACTCAGCAGTCCTACTAGGCTGATGCTTCACTCTCCCAGGCCCACACCACGCTCCTACCTGGCTCTGACAGCCTCTGCAGTTCCGCCCGTTATCCCCAATACATCGACAGTAGGAATGGCAGTGGCGCAAATGGCTCCTTGTTCAGCAGACAACCATCGTTTTTGTATTGATCGCCATTTTGTCACACCAGAAGTCCTCCTTGGATAATCTTGTTGAAGTTTTTACAGCCTGTGGACTTTCCAACCCTGAAGGTGATGCTGGGAAGCAAGTTTGTGTTTTGATGGCACAGCAAGCTGCAATTAATCTTAAAACTTATACAAAAACTTCCAAACTCCTGTTTCCTAGTCATGCTGGCAGAGGAGGGAGAAACACACACTGCAGTTCATTCAAATAACACTAAACTATGGTTTGGCATTGCATTTGATTGAGGCTACAATCTACTTCTGGTCTGCCAGCTGATAACATATGCTAGTTAATTCTGGCATGATGCCAAATGATGGTTAAACAGAACTGAACCATAGACCTCTGCCTATTAAATATGATATTATTGGAGATAGGGCCTTGTGCCATGAATGGATTTCATGGAAATCCTTAAGTGTCCATGATTAGAAACATTGCCAAGCCGAAATATCTCTGCTAATCTTGCAGAGATTAAATCATATATTTTATGGACCATATTAGTTGAATTAGCTGTAGTATCTTGGTTCCTCCTTTAGACCTAAAAGCTAAGAAAATGTTTCCAGCTTGGGGAAGAAAGGAGCCTGTTCTGTGAAATACAGTATATGGTGCTTAAATAATGTATAAATCAGGTTGGACAGGAGCTGCCTGTCAGTTTTATTAACTTTGACCTTTTCTCCCATTATAAAGATGGTTTGGTAAATATTTAATGGGCCCTTATAGATCTTGACAGTTGGATCTCTGTTCCTGGAAGCAGAATTAGGTGGGCAGGAGTGCCTGTATTACATGCAATTAACAAACACAGTTTAATCAGAAAGACATGGCCTTCAAAGGCAAAAAACGTGTTCTGGTTTTGAATAATAATACAATTTTTTTTAAAAAATCACTATGCTTTCAGATAATGCCATCCAAAGCAGAAATCCTACAAGGTAGTTTCAGCATGGGACCCCCCTCGCCCCTTTTTAAATGGCACAATTCAAAATCTAGCTCTGATTAGTGCAGATGTTTGTGCCATGTCCATTGTGCAGACTTCTAAATTGGGTGAAGTCACCCCATCCTGTGTCGCTTGGTCTATAACAAGCCTTCCTTTTCCAGACTGGTCCGCCAGGGTCTAAATGGCTGAGCTTGCATTGGTCTTAATAAGATGTCATGAAAGGAAGGGAAGGGTAAGTGTATAGAGTCAGAAAAGGGTCTCTTGCCAAGTTAGTGGTGCCTTTAATTCCATGAAAAGGTGGTGCATATTGCTCTCACTGCAAATTCTAGTAGCAAAGATTGAAAATAGGATTGCTTGACATTTTGAAACATTGTCTTTCAAACATGTACTGTCCCTTGCATTCATTGATTTTTATTTAAGGAATCTGTGGGAGAAAAACAAATTTTAGCAAAATTCATTGGCCTAAGATGAGCATGCTAGAGTGAAATGATACCCAGTCCTCTCTAGCAGAGAGTAACTCCACTTCTATTAAGAATGCTATACATCTTTGTATCATTGTCTAAATCACATGGTAAATGGGTCAAGAAAACCAGAAAGTTGTTATGATGCAGAATGGGATGTTCTAAAACAGACAGTTTGCTCTTTGCTGGATGGTGGCATTAATTTGTAGAGTGTTTTCTGAAAACTCCCAACTCCAATCAACCCTGGCTGACAGCACATGGTTACGGATGATGTTTAATATGGCAACATCTCAGGGGCCACAACTTCCCCACCCTTGACTTAATGGGACCATTTCAGCAAAACAATTTAACTTTGAATAACAGGTGCTGGATAATAAGACACCTTGCTTCCCGGAAGCACCTGTTCAAAGCATAGGGCTGAACTCGATGGACCCTTGATGGGATTCAACAAGTCTGTGGCTATTTGGGACACATTGGATCGACAGACTTACTTGGTCTTACAACTCTGCTGCCATATATGAAATGCATGATTTCTTATATCTTCCCCGTAATGTTTCTGATAAGCTTTGTCCATCTTCCTTTGTCCCCTTGGATAACTTTTTTTTTTAAAGGAAGGTAACCATATTAGTAAAGGTAAAGGGACCCCTGACCATTAGGTCCAGTCACAGATGACTCTGGGGTTGCGGCGCTCATCTTGCTTTACTGGCCGAGGGAGCTGGCCTACAGCTTCCGGGTCATGTGGCCAGCATGACTAAGTCGCTTCTAGCAAACCAGAGCAGCGTATGGAAACGCCATTTACCTTCCTGCTGGAGCGGTACCTATTTATCTACTTGCACTTTTTTGGGGTGCTTTTGAACTGCTAGGTTGGCAGGAGCTGGGACCGAGCAACGGGAGCTCACGCCGTTGCAGGGATTCAAACCGCCAACCTTCTGATCAGCAAGCGCTAGGCTCTGTGGTTTAGACCACAGCGCCACCCGCACCATATCAATTACTTTAATGGTACAATTATTTAATGTCATTATTTCAAATGACTATCTTTTGTGATTAAATATGTAAAAGGTAAAGGGACCCTGACCATTAGGTCCAGTCGTGGCCGACTCTGGGGTTGTGGTGCTCATCTCGCTTTATTGGCCGAGAGAGCAGGCATACAGATCATGTGGCCAGCATGACTAAGCCGCTTCTGGCGAAACTAGAGCAGCGCACGGAAACGCCGTTTACCTTCCCGCAGGAGGGGTACCTATTTATCTACTTGCACTTTGACGTGCTTTTGAACAGGTTGGCAGGAGCAGGGACTGAGCAATGGGAGCTCACCCCGTTGCGGGGATTTGAACTGCCGACCTTCTGATCGGCAAGTCCTAGGCTCTGTGGTTTAACCCACAGCGCCACCCGCGTCCCGATTAAATATGAGTGACCTGCAAATTATCATAACTGATTTTGGTTGTTGTGGGATTTTTTGTGTTGTACAAAATGTTCTGAAACTTGACCAATCAATTAATTTTCTTTGGACCAGTCAAATACTCAGCCCTTATTTCCTTATATGATTGAGCGCTCTAGGCAAGAAATGTGCAGTGATCTGCAGAAAGTGGACTCGTAATTGGCATGGTTTTCTCAAAATTTGGGACCAGAAGGCCTTTAAGATGTCCAGCTCTGCTAAGCATTTTGCAAAGAGCAGCACAAGGGAGGGTGTTTTTTCCCCCATTGGCACGTAAAATACTGCCAGAAAGGAAGTTGGCCATGCTCAGATGGTTGTGGCAGCAAAGGTGCAGTGCACATTCCCCTGATTAGTTTGTTACTTTAGCTTATGGAGAACACTGTCACTCCTTCTAATTGTGGACTCAGCACTGACAGGATTGGATCCAGAGATTGGGTCACTGAGTAGCTAGAGTATTGGTATTGGTGGGCTCAGGAAACTCCAAAGTTTGCAAGAGTATGCTAACATGCGGGGTGGCACTTCCACTTGAGTGGATTAGGTAGAGGCCCTGTCAGTCTTCTGCCTCCTCTCCAGAGGGAGGAGCCATCCCATACCCCAGACCAACCCTTCTAAGGCTGGATTAGGTTGGGTCCAACTGAGTTTCTCAGGATTCTTAGCTTTGTTAGTGTTTCTCTAGTGTAATTTCACTTTTTGGTGGTGGGACTGTTTTTTCTTTTATTTTCAACTGTCCTCTTCTGTTTACTTTGCTGTGCTTACTCCCCCCCCCCATTTTTACTTTGATTTCCCCCTCACAGTTTGCTTGTTTGCTATTTGTCTATTACTTGTGTAGTTTTATTCCCCCATCTCCCTAGTGAAGTAAGTGGTAGAGGGAGAGATTTGCCTATAGCAGAGAATATAAAGTAAAACTAAAATTTCACCTGGACTTCTTTTCTCTCAGTTTGACTGCAGTCATCACCATTTAGGTGAACACAGCATTTTTGGCGGGTCCCATTGATAATTTAGCAAAGTGGTGGTACCATTTTGGATTGGCCCTTAGCTTGTGTTTTTAAGTGCTTCTTCCCCTCAGCTTGGTTGTCCTACTGAGTTCTGTGCCAATTAAACCCTACATGATCACCTGTCTCCTCTCTTATACCACATTATGCATATGAGGTGGTAGACTGTAATCCATGACAATATATATTCTAATAAATTTGTTAGCTTTTAATGCCCCCCTGGAGTCTTTGTGGGCTTTGCTGCAGCAGGCTACCACTAGCCCTCAGAAAATTCTTGAGATGTCTTTTCTTTCTTCAAATTTATTCTAGTCAAAATAATTAATACTTGTAGCAAATCTATGCTAGGTAGCCGTGTAATTCCTGGATCATAAAGCTGGGCTGGTTGGATAGGCGGAATGCATGGCTTAGGCCAATACAGTTTTTGCTTTCTAGCACCTAGGTTCTTTTCAGCTGTAGAGATCCCCTGTGTCTTGTCAATGCCAGCTGTGGGTTCATTGTCTAAGAATAAAAGGAGAATTGACTTTTACAATGTAAGAATCCTGAACTGTCTTTTGATGACTCTCTCTGTGAAAAGCATGAAGAGCATTTGGATAGATACTTGTGAAATATTTCATTGCCATCTCCTAAGCTGACAGCTGATATCCTGGGCATGTTCACACTTGTGAAAGTGCTGTAACCTCCAGACAAGTGTAGGAGTATTTGCCAAAATATCATAAAATGCTGTGCAGTAAATGATCATCATACCCCCCACCCCCGCCACCGCCACTGTGCTTTATAAAGGAAGAACTTAGAATGGCACAAGCTGTGCTTTTGTTGAAGGAAACGTTTTGGTTCTGGGTTCAATCATGTATGTGTAGCATGTAAAGTCCAAACTTCTGAAATGTTTCAAAGAGAAGGGTTATTAACTGATGCCATATCCTCTCTCCCTCTTTTCTAGTTGCAGTACCATGCAGGACTGGCGTCTGGTCTTCTGAATCAGCAGTCTTTGAAACGGTCAGCCAACCAAATGGGGGTGTCTGCCAAGCGGAGACCGAAAGCCCAGCCTACTACCCTAGTCCTTCCACCTCAGTAAGTACTAAAGGTGTAGTGTGTGAGGGGGGCGGGGAGAAAGAAAGAGAATACAGAGAGAGAGAGAGAGAGAGAGAGAGAGAGAGAGAGAGAGGGAGGGAGGGAGGGAGGGAGAGAATTGCAGTACAATAACATTCTGGGACTTTCTATTTTCTATTTAAATACATTTTTAAAAGAATGAGAGAGGAGGGTGGAGTGTAAAAGCTGTTCTGCCAAGTTTACTTACTTAAGTTCAATATGTGTCTACCTGCTGCTGTTCTGTAATTCACCATTTTTGTCCCTAAAACCTGCAAAGAAAAAAGGAATTTCTGAAAACACCCAGGCACCTTGGCAATCTTTTAAATAATTTTTAGGGAGCTTTCAAAAACATTGGGATGCGTTTAGGATCATCCAGCACTTTCCCTGAAAGGTTGAGGAAAACCCTCGTTTCCACCCAAGCCCCCCCCCCACCCTAAAACTCAGCTTGGGGCAAGATGGTAGACCTTCAGACATACCAGCCTTATGTCAGACTGGATTTTTGCTGATCGGGTGTCCTTTGGGGACCCTCTGAAAAGGAAATATATACAGAGCATTGCTTTTCTGGTGAGGTTCCCAGGACTTGCAGTTCCAGTCCTGTCTTTGGTGGTAAAAGTTATTGAGATGAGGAACGGGACAACTTCTGCTTTTAAGTTTTTGAGGATGCTTTGGGTCAGAGGGAGATGGAATCTGTTCATGGGATTGTGGCAAAGAGCTGTGTTCCCTCCAGTTCTGCTCTGGAGATCTTGAAAGCAGCCTTGATCAAATGCCTGAGGCATTGAGTGAGGAAGGAGCATGGCTTGGATCCGTCTAAATAGTTAATTGAATCACAGCCTCTGGCTTTACTTTTGGTGGGGGGATCCACACTGAAACAAATAGGATGGGCAAACCTCTTTTTTTCACTTGCTGATAAGAAACAAGAGACCTGAAGCTGAATGTATGGTTCTGTTAATCTAAACGGTTGTGGTTTTTTAAAAATAACCTTTATACAGGCCGCTTGTTTATTGTATGTTTATTTTATATTAGAATGCAGACACTTTTTGCAGGCTACATGCAATTAAGTTCAGTAACTATAAAGACTCTAGCAATCAGCAATTTGCGTAGTCTGGTTCTGATGCCAAGCACAAAAACCCCCACTGCCATGCAACAAAGCTTATAAATTAATCAAATTCTTAAAATATTTAGTGACATATATAGAGGAATTATCACAATAAGAAATGATGCATAAGACGTTAGTGTGGTGCTTTGAGCCCCCTTCTCTCAGAAGCATGCTTTTTCATTCAGGTATGAAACCTGTGCTGCTGAGTATCTAGTTTTGAGATAATCAGCATCCTCTTTGCCACCAGTCTACATAGTTATGTGACACAGGAGACCCAAAGGAAGAACTAAGTCCTTAGCACAAAGACTAACAGAAAGAAAAGGTAAATATTGCCTCCTACCACCATCTCTGTTGCAACAGAAAACAATTGCATATGGATATTTGGATATCTTACCATTGTACAGTATCTATATAGCTGAACTTAGTGAGCCAGATAAATTCTTGCAGAGATTGAGAAAAGGGCCAAATGCACACTTGAAATGCTAGCCCTTGTTGTATTTATGAGTGTTAAGCAGATTCCTTATAATCAGTGAAGCAATGAAGCCTCATCTAATGTAAGGAAAGTTTGTGCTATTGAGTTACAGTGGTACCTCTGGTTACGTACTTACCGTAATTCGTTCCGGAGGTACGTTCTTAACCTGAAACTCTTCTTAACCTGAAGCACCACTTTAACTAATGGGGCCTCCCGCTGCTGCTGCGCCACGGCCACACAATTTCTGTTCTCATCCTGAAGCAAAGTTCTTAACCTGAGGTACTATTTCTGGGTTAGCGGAGCCTGTAACCTGAAGCGTATGTAACCTGAAGCGTCTGTAACCTGAGGTACCACTGTATCATTAAAATGGTGGTGGCCAAACTTTTTCAACTGGAGGGCCACATTCCCTGTTGGCCAGCGCTCCAAAGGGCTGCATGTCAGTACTGGCCATGGCTAAAGGAAAGATGAGTGTGGCCAAAGTGGGCAAGCCGACCCCATACTCCCTTGTATACTACACACCATGTGTGCACCACAGGCCTCTCGTGCATGCTTATGTGCCTTCATTGTAACCTTTCCTCCTTGCAGTCTCTTCCTCTTGTTGCTCATCTGATTAGAAAATGCTGGAGCATCAAGGAAGAGAGGGCTGTAGAGGGGACACTCAAATATACACACATGTGGGGTTGACTTCCTTCACCTCTCACCTTCCAGTTCCTGATTACTTTGCTTGTTGATGATCGCATTGGACCTTTCCAGCCAGAGAGCTGTTCAAAGAGGTTAATCAAGGAGTTCAGATGAACTGCTTATGCTTACTGTCTCTTCCCTCTTCTCCCATAAGTGATCAGTAGAAGAAGGAAGGATACCCCCAAGTACAGTGGGGTGCTTCCTAATAACATCTATATCTGTTCAGCTACCATATATATAACCTCAGATTACACTGTTAATGCCACTTACATTCCCTTGCCTTGTTTTCACTGCTGCCACTGAAGAACTGTTAGTTGTATCTGGTTGACTGACCAAATCCAAAGAGTACTCCCTAATACTTCCTCATCATCCTGGAAAAAGTGACAAGTGGGGTGCCACAGGGTTTTCTCCTGGACTTGTTGTTGCTCAACATCTTTATAAACAACTTGGAGGAAGGAATTGAGGGAATTCTCATCAAATTTGCCAATGACACCAAACTGGAAAGGGTAACAAATGCCACAGAAGATAGAATCAGTATTCAAAATCAGATTGGATAACTGGTCCCAAACTAACACAATGAATTTCAATAGGGACAAATGCAAGGTTCTGCACGTAGACAGGAAGAACCACCTGCACAAATATAAGATGAAGGACACATGGCTTGCAGTAATGTACATGTGAAAAGGTTCTAGGAGTCTTAATAGCCCACAAGCTTAACATGAGTCAACAGGGTTGAATAGAATCATGGAAGTGTACGGTTGGAAAGGACCATAAGTAACATCTAGTCCTACCCCCTGCAGTGCAGGAATCTTTTTGACCAGTGTTGCGCTTGGACCCACAGCCCTGTGATTAAGAGGCTCATGCTGTACCAACTGAGTTGATACAGCAGCAGCAGAAAAAAAAACTAATGCTATTTTGGATTGCATCAACAGAAGTATAGTGTCCAGATCAACGGAAGTACTAGTACCACGCTATTCTGCCTTGGTCAGACCCCACCTGGAATACTCTGTCCACTTCTGGGGACCACAATTTAAAAAGGATATTGACAAGCTGAAACGTGCGTGGAGGAAGGCAACCAAGATGATAAAGGGTCTGGAAGCCAAGCCTTATGAGGAATGGTTGATGGATTGTGTATGTTTACCTGTAGAATTGAAGACTGAGAGGAGATATGAAAGCCATCTTCAAATATTTAAAGGACTGTCCCACGGAAGATGGAGCAAGCTTGTTTTCTCCTGCTCCAGTGGTTAGGACCCAAACCAATAGCTTCAAGTTATAAGAAAGGGGATTCCAACTAAACATCAGTAATAACTTTTTGTCAGTAAGCGCTTTTCAACAGTGGAAAGAACTACTTCAGGGGATTGTGGACTCTACATCCTTGGAGGTTTTTAAGCAGAGGTTGAACTTTCATCTGTTATGGAATCTTTAGTTAGTCCTGCATTGCAGGGGACTAGATGACCTTTGGGGTCCCTTCCAACTCTGTAGTTCTATGATTATATGATACTACACAAACAGGTTGAATTAGATGACGCTCAGGGTCTCTTCCAGTGCTGCAATTCTATGATTCATTTACAGTGTCTTAATCTATTTTAATTTGTTCCAAAGTAAAAATGATTTAGAAATGGGACTTGGCATGATATCATATCTGTTCGTATAGTTCAGGTCAAAGGGATTTTTCTGCAGCCCAAGAACAAAATTATGCGGGAAAGCCATTTGTATATGGCTTTTCTGGCAGCTGTTTACTCTTTTACTTGAGTGGGTGGTTCTGATCTCTTGATCTGAAAGAAGAATCCAAGATTCCCATCACATTTCATGCCAAATCATCCTTGGCAAAACTGCCTAGTTCCAAGTCTGTTAAAGGCTGGTTTTCTAGACAGTAGTATAGTCCACTATCTTTTTAAGTATTAAAGTATTAAAGGAAATACATGGAAATACCATATAGAGAGTTTGTGCGAAGACCATTGCACCATAACTCCAGACTAAAACTGAATTGGCATATGCAAAGGGGAAAGAGAAATAAAAAATACCAGCTGCCAGGAAGATCAGTTATGCTATGGGCATGGATAAGAGGGCAATTAACTTATCAACCAGAGTCTTGGAAAAGGTGAGATTGTGGTGCATCCTCAAGTTATGGATGTGATACTTGGGACAGAGGTCCTTATATGCAAGGATTGATGATTTCACATGATATGGAGGGTAGTATTGACTGGATAGGTATGCATAGTAACAATAATGCATTATATAGCTATACCGTTCTTAATATAGGTTAAAGTACTGGATAATAGTCATGTGGTAAATATATTATGCATGATAAAGAGTTATTTTTCTTTTTGTAAAATGGGAGCAGTAGATTTCCATAGGAGAGTTAGCCTTCAGTGCCCTGTTGGATCAGGCCAAAGACCCTTCTTGTCCAACATCCTGTTCTCACAGTGACCAGCTAAATGCATCTGGGAAGTCTACAAGCAGGTCACAAGTGCAATAGTCCTCGCCTGCTTCCCAATCACTAGTATTCAGTGGCATATCACTTCTCATATTGGAGGTAACATAGTCATTATGACTGCTAGCCATTGCAAAAGCCTTACCCTCCACCATTTTTTTAATGAACCATATGGGCCTTAGGAAACCTCTTTTACACAACCTGCACTAGTCTTGCTTTGAGAATTGTAGTTGTTAAAAATGACACTTCACCCAGCATTATTGATTAAGGCAACATGATGTGCCAGAAAGTTAAACCCC